TCATCAAAATCATGTTGACTTACAACCCTTAAAAGTATGTAAATTGTACTTAATTCAAAAGAGCAATGGGAGTATTCTAATGGTAATGTATAGATCTTGAGCTTTGTCCTACAACCTGTCCGACCAAAATTGAGAAGCATGAGGCATCAACTTTCTTTCAAATCCCACAAATTAGCATTCTAATGCAGAATGGCCTTGATTGATTTCACTTACTCAAGGTGCATATAAGGCCCATTAAGCATACGATGAAGAACACTTGTGTGGGTTTGGGTTTGGCCGCACCTGGACGACAGCCGAATGACCATCTCAACTATTAGATCATTAGCACTCTAGCTCTAGACTTATCCTGAAAGTGCTTTCCCTCCAGCAGCTGCAGCTTCTTCAGTACTGAAGGGCGAAAATTCCATAAGCTTCACAGTACGGTGCATGATCTCATATGTTCTTCCTAGTATCGCCACTGGGTCTCACATGCTCCCTGTTCTATCCCTATCCGTGTCCCTACTATATTCTCTGACCGAATAACCCGACTACTCGTACACGGAATATATATGCAAAAAAGACATAGGCATATTTGTATTCATTATATGATAGTCAAAGATACTCCCATTAGGCTATTTCTGAGAACCTTGGTATTGGAAAAGTTGTATCCCTTAGGCTGTGTTTGGTTGCAATGCAAATGAATCTGAACTGATGCAAAACCATGGCAGTGCAAATGATTTTACTATAAATTCTGACCTATTTTTGTTTCAAATATTTGCTTATTTTGTTTGGTTGTAGTATAAATGAAGTAAATTAAGACATGAAACAGAATAAAATAAAATCCAAAACAAAATTAAACAAGAATTTGCACTAGTGCAAATAAAATTGACATGGCCTTAAAGATTTTCCAACTTTTCCAATTTCAATAATTTTTGTAAAAAAAAAAACCCAAATGCAGTCTTAGGATAAAATTGGAATTTTGATAGAATTTAAAGTAGGATTGCGATCTTTGTGGACCATTCTGTTGAGGGGCTACAGACATGGCTGTGTCTGTCAATGGACTTGATTTTGTTCCAATCCTATGAATTAAGTTGAATTTGGAAATCTATTAAGTTAATCGGATTGAACAAAAAATGTATTATTGAATGTATGTATGCATAAGTCGGTTTTGATAGCCGATGGATGGCGTTTAGCATTTTCTTTGTATTGTGTGTATGCATGCATACATACAAAAACTGTAATCAAACTACGTACAAAAATTGTCTCTGATATATTTCTTTCCCTTATTTCATGTTCCTCACTTTACAATCCCCCATTTCAATCATATTTAACTTCGACTGTAGTAGGCATGATCATGGGCATGGGCCAGAAATAGGAAGTTTGGGATTAGAAATTTGTGGGCCGGGCTCGATCGGTCATAACTGATCATCCCTAGCTATCTCACTGTGAATGTGAAGACTGAAGAGGTAAACCAAATCCAATCCCCTTTGTCATATTTAATTGCAAACCCTCTCAAAAGCAACCAAAGAGATGAATTGAAAGATTAGGTTAGGCGAACTCTTGAGCATTACATATACAATTATCTCCTGAAAGTCTGCTCATGAGAATGCAATCCAGTTCAATCTTGGCAAGAAATAGCACGCAAGCTGAGTCCAAATCAGCCCCCCCACAACGTCCCACAGCACATACCTGTCGTGTATAGGAAACATCTCCCGATGATAATATAAAAAATGAGGATGTCATCATTGAGAGATATTCTTAATACATGGTGGGGATGTGCTGTGGGACGTTGTGGGGGTTGATATGGTCTGACGCAAGCTCAAAACTATAGATGCCCAACATCTAAAATTTGCATTTGGACTGAAAGGGAAGAAGCTATGGGAAACTTCCTGGTTACGTGGGGATTTGGACTTTGCACATTTGACCTTTTTATACACGTGATGATAGAAATAGGTTGGCTTATGAATAAGTTCACTTATTTCTTTCGTTTTGTTTCTTGTAACAAACAGATGAGGGCTGTTCATTTTGGGAAGTAAGCTCACTACAATGTTAGTAAGATGGGATTCAAACTATATGGGGGTTCTTTGTTCAACATGTAGGTTAAATGTGATTGTTTTATTGATACTCAGAAAAACATTTATAGAGTTACAGACCCTAATACGAGTTCTTGGATAGCCATGATTGCTGCTGGTTATGTTGTGAATGATTTGTTGGATGGAGCACTCAAACTTTTCAACGAATTGCAGCAGTTAGGTCGTCGTATAACAAACCAGAACCAGGTTATATTTGCATTATATCAACCGTTTGTTTTAGTTTAGTTAGGCATATATGACAATGCATGCTGTTTATTTGACGAAATGCCCAATACCAATGTTGTAGAATGGAACATCATGACCTCAAAGTATGCCCACAGTGGTTAAGTAACATGCTGGAAGCCATAAATTTGGATGAAGGAAGATATGTGGGCATCTACTGTAAAACCCAAGATCCACTTTACAAGTGTTTTAAATGCCATTGCTGGCCTAGAGGCTCTTGCTCAGGGCCAGCAATTTCATTATGAGGCAATCAGGCTGGGACTGGGTAGTTCAGATTGGCACCCCACAGAGTATGCCCTCTATCACTATCTATGCACATCTTACTTTGCATTGGGAACATCTTCCGTATTTGTCATGAAAAGTGTTTTCAATACATAATATGTATTGATTGAGATATGCTGTGGCACGTGTTTGGGTGCACTTTGTGGGGCATTTATGCCAATTTGGGACTGGGAGTCTCCAATAATGGTCATTTTTCTCTGTTTTCTGTCAAATGGCAATGGCTTGTTATCAGGAAAAAAACTGACAGTGTCAACTTTGGTTCTTGGATGAGAGTGACTCCGATTTAGGAAAAGATAAGTTGAGACAGGCATTAAAGTCGTCTCTCCATCAGGGCTTTCCACCTTATTTTGCCTTGTTGATATTTTGAACCTTTGAACCCTTTTTTTTGTACCCTTGGTACAAAAAAATTTACTGTACCAGGCCAATAATAATCTCTTATACCATTTAAAAAAGTCCACTTTAATTTGAAAATGAGAATAACAGAATAACAGTTTCGTATGGCATATTGCTATTGGTTTAGTAAAGAAAATTTTCAGTACAAGGAAGTGAATTCTAAATCAGTAGTCCCGGATTCACATTTTTTATCCTATATATAAGTGGGTCCCACCGGGTGATCAATATGACTATATGTTGGTACCACCTATTGATCAGTTCTTTGGTAGTTTAGTATTAGGGCTGCAAGTTGGGCCGGATTAGGTCGGGTTGAGGCCAACCCTAAGTTCTAAACTCTAACCTTAACCTTAACCCAACCCGACCAACCCAACCCTAACCCTAATCCTAACTAAATTTCTTCAACCCCATCCTAACCCAACCCAATCTGAAGTCAATTTCGGATTTCCCATCCCTTAAAACCTAATAGAACTTCTTGATTTTAGATCTTAAATCAACTTTCACTACATATATTAATCCTATGTTTCATGAGTATTTGTTTGTTGACATTTTTTTGTTTGTTCTTTTGGTACAAAATTCAGAAAAAACAAGTGTTAGAAATGACTATAGTTTATTATGAGTTATGACTTACGATAGATCTTTCTTGGGCGACAAACAACATAGAGGAGATGAAGAATAAAATTTTCAAAAAACATAAAATAATGTTATTAAGGTTTTACTCTTTCTAATTAGGATCAAGTGAAGTGATTATCTTAAAAGAAATACTTGATACTATGTGGTGAGGGCTATACAAATATCATGAATCTAAACAAATCAATGTATGTTATATATTACATATAACATATATTTATATAGGGAAAATCTATGATGCAGAAAAGATATGGTATGAGAAGAGTTTTGACCAATCAAAATCCACCCATTAATTTTGATAAATAACACCTAATTGGCTATCATGTTTATGATTCCAGTTAACTGGTCAAAAGTTTTTTAGATATCATATCTTTTCCATATCATAGTCGAACCCATTTATATATGACATGTACTATAGAGTCGGGTTGGCTAACTATTCAACCCTAACCCAACCCAAAGTAAAACCACGCTCATGAATTTCAACCCTAACCCAACCCAAAGTAAAACCACGCTCATGAATTTCAACCCTAACCCAAACCCAAAGTAAAACCACGCTCATGAATTTCAACCCTAACCCTAACCCGAACATCAACCCAACCCAACTTTTTTGGGTTGGGTTTGGGCCAACCCGGCCCAAGTTGCAACCTCATTTAGTATTGTCTCACCTATTTTTAAAGTAAGCATATATTAGTTATTTAATGACGAATTGGGCTAGAGATGTCAATGGGTCGGGTTAAATGGTAAATCCGGCTCGGGTTAGGGTTTTGATTCTTCAACCTGAGTCGGATTCAGGTTTTGGTTGATCTGCCCCATCGGGTCATGATACCCTGCATATATACAAAATATTCTTGTAACTTTTTTATTTTTAACTCTATAGCTTTAAAGTTTAAGACTTCTTTACATATTGGTTTTAATTTTTTTTTCTTTTTTTAAATGGGAAAAGTGACATCTTAGATTCTATAAAATAAATTCCTAACTTAAATTAATGGATTTTAGGTCTTCAAAATGTGTTAATAAAATATAATTGAAATACTACTGGTTAAATCGGGTTGATATCAGGTTAGACCCTATAAGGTCAAATTCGAAAATTATGTATTTTAAAGCATATTGGATCAGGTTCAGGTTGAAACATTGTATCGTCGGGTTAAGATTGAGACAAACCCGTGCCAAACCCGACCCATTGACATCCCTAAATTGGGCTGCGTCCATGCACTTCAGTTTTGTTTTCTGGGTGGGCTGCATCCACTAGGATTCCTGGAGCTGCACAAAAAGGCCCATTAGAATCCTGAAAAATAAACTGAAAACCAATTTAACAAAATTCCGGCTTCCGAGCAATAAAGAACAGAAAAGATTTTATTTTTATTTTTATTTTTTGAATCTTAGTATTAGAACGCACAGGACAAATGAAATGAATGGCATCACTTAAGAGATTAGAGAGCACAAAAACAAAATTAAGTGGGAGACCTTGTTTTCTTTGTTTTGTTCGGATCAAAACAGGTGAAAAAAAAAAGAATTAATGATGAAAGAAACTCCTGATTTCTCTCTAATGTGCACCTTGGGTGCACGAAGTGCCCTTCCCATGCAACCAACACCAATAGCACTGCACAGCTGTCAGCTGCCACCGAGTTCCCAACATATAGTCATAAGAATTCCTAACATCCTACCGCGCATCCTGGCACCATATGCCCCCCAATTCAAATTTCATGCATACTCATACTCTGCCTCTGGCTCTAAATACAGGTTCACAGACATGGGCGGAATCATATCAGCTCGGCACCTCTCACAGACGAACAGCGCTGGCACAGCTTCATCATCGACTATACCAGCACACCGCGTGTGCTGCCACACCTCACACACATCACAGGCCACCATCCTCTCCCCATCGTCATCCCTGGCCCCACACCTGCAATCCACCGTCCAATTATCGGCCCCACCCTCGTACCTCAAATCCGTCCGTAAGTCCACCCCACTACCCTCCACCCATATGTGCGCACCCGACTCCAAGGCGCCAAATAGCACCTCCTCATCCTCCATTCCACCCACCCCTTCAACCTCCTTCGCCACGAACCACTCCAGCATGCCGTAAGTGTCCCTCAGTGCTTTCTCCGCTGCCACTTTCAGCTCCCCAACCGTCGCATACGGCGGGACCACCACCACCTCACCCGGTGGAAGCGGCCGAGTCAATTCGGACTCAACCTCGCCCACACTCGGCATGAAACGGCACACGAATCTCAGCAACTCGTCCTGCTCATCTTTAAACGGCCACTCCTTCATGAAGTGCTTCCCGTCCAGCACCACCCGACTCGCCAACCCTAGCAATTCCGATTCCGGGAATCCTTTCAGAACTCTCTTGTACAAAAACACTACGTCGCCGTAAACGTCGGCTCCCGGTTCAGGATCCGGAGGGGGATCCTCGACGGTGGGTTCCGGTGACTCGTCGACAGCGCTCTCACCGCTGCAGACTTCGTGAATTGTGTACTCCAACAATCTCGTCGCCGGGTTAACGGTACGACGGACGATGTGATTGCCGACGATGAAGTTGTTGAGGGACTTCAAAACGAAGTCGAGCAAGCCAGTGTCGCCGATGTGAAGCCGAGCCGCATCGCGAACGTCCTGTCTAGACATCCCACGTTGGCCAATGCTCCTCGCTTTCTTCTCTTTCAGGGCTTCGACGATGACCTCCGCGGCGTACTGTAATCGTTTCGCAGGCCACCTGCTGTCCATGTTTGCAGCAAAAGGAGCGAATTTTCGGTACTTCACTGGCTTGTCCTTCGACGGCGATTTTCGTTGCCGGTAGATGCTAATTGAGGATTTTGAAGGAGGGCCTACAGCAGCGGCTGCCATGAGGGATTTTCTCTGAACGGGAGGTCGAGATTTGAGAGCCAGCATGAAGCGGAAGAGATCTCGCAGGGTAATCAACTGGGTTTCACTTACGTCTCTGTAGCTGCGAATGATTCGCATGATGTTTTTGTGATAGCTGGTGCTGACGAACTCGTCCATGATATGATCGAGATTCAGTGAGCTGAGAATCTCGAGAGCGTCGTTGTATTGTTCTTCTGTGACACCGAAGCTCCCCCGGCAGAACCTGTAACCCCATCTCCCGAACCAAGTGTGTCCATAAGCGACGCCGTAGAGTAGCCGGAGGTCCATGGATCTCTTCTTCGATGTATCCACTACTGTAATTTTCCTACAGAAAACATAAAAATAAAAATAAAGCCCTACTAAGTTCAGATCTAGAATCGGTTTCTTTCTCTTCTTCTCATTGTTGTTGGGTGATTCTTGCTTACCGGGCACGGAGAGTTGTGCAGATTCGATCCCAAAGATCCATGATCTCTCTTCCACAGAGATATTTCGATCCACCTTCGACTCCATTGAGGCAGAGAAGATGCCCAAAGCCATTACAGTGGATGAGTCCGTGCAAGAGATGGGTGTGAAGATCGAAAACGTTTCCTTCAAGAGGCTTGCTCCACTCGGCATCCTCAGGGATTATCATATGGTATCTTCTCTTCGACACAAAATGGTGACTCCAACCTGCAATGAAATCAAGAACGCACCTCAGCACGAATCAAAACAAGCCCAAATCCCCAATTCAAAACCGTAAACCCTAAATCAACAAAAGCAGCGAAGTCAGAAGGCCAAACTGAAGAGAAATTGAAGAAAAAAAATCGTATCAAATTCGAATTTTGCTTCCTCCTTACCGACGCATCTGCAGTGATCACAGAAAGGGTGCAACGAGTGCTTCACGCTCTCTTCGATGGTGTAGAGAGGGACGACGACGCCATTGTTCTCGTTTACGAGCAACGTGGACCAGGTGGGCATACCTTCCACGTTGTAATCCTCAATCTCCCCGCATTCTTCAATGAAGGAACGGATGTTGTCTCGGAACGGTCCAGTGAGAATGATCGGGCATCCTGGATCGGCGAATGTGTGAAATCCATAGAGCTTGGGCTTGCGTTTTCTCTTCTTGCAGGCATCAAGGACTGTTATCGCCATTGGAGAAGCTCCTCTTTTCTTCTCCAAGACTTTCCTTCTTGAATCTTTCTCATACAGAGAGAGAGAGAGAGAGAGAGAGAGAGTTTTGGAATTCAATTGGTTCGAGAATCGAAGTTTGTTGCAGAGCTTGAATCTGCGGTTTCTAACTGAATGTCTTAAGCTCTTGCAAGTTGCATTGCGCGCTCGTTTTCTTAATTTCGAATGGGATGTCATTTTACGTAACTACCCCTACTGAGCAAGATACGTAGTGAAGTAAATATGGGAATTTTTCAGTTTACTCTGGTCTATTTGCCATTGTCGCTGCAATCCGGAAGCCGGAGCGCGTGGAGTGTCAAGCAAGGAAGTGGCGAGTCGCACAGCCAAGAAGAAATTAATTAAGGCCGTTAGATTTCAGTTAGTAGTTAGATAGACAGTTGATGACACAATTGCTGGCAAACTAAGTAGCTCTCTCATAATTGAGGGTGATAATTTCTAGCCTGACCCGAATGCCCAGCCCGGCCCGGTCCACAATATGACGCACATAATATTATATTAACTATAGCATAAAATGCATAAATATTTATATATATTATTGTAATTGTATAAAATATATAGGCCCAAAAACTAGCTTGGGCCCAAGCCCGAGTTATAGCCCTCGTCATAAGTGCTAACTCCGGCCACTTAGGACCAACAATATGTGACTTTATTGATTGGAGTTTACATTAATGGGTACACGGACGAAAGAAGATTCTTGACCCAAAGGTTACAAATGGATCGGCTGTCAACAAATGACAAATATTTGGACTCGAAACTATAGGTGGGAAGAAGGGAGACGGGACGGGGGAGGCTACAGGGAACTAAGTGACAAAATTAAGGCCAGATCTTGGACAGTTAAACTGCTTTCACCGGCAGCAGGACCGATCAAATTAGCACTCCACTTGAGAACTCAGACTGCTTTTGGTCTTCTAAGTGTAATTTGATTGGTCCAAGTGGTTTGAGTTCTCAAGTGGAGTGCTAATATCAGCCCCAATTCTTTTGAAGTCTTAAAAGAAGGTAGATCAAGAGCGATTTAATTTGGTGTGAATAAATGGATTCTTTTTGGTTCAACGATCAAATGGCGAAGTTAGGCCATGTAAATTGATGTAATAGTTTTTTATTTTTTTTGAGTATTTGATGGTGAGGTTTGATTGATTAGATGGGCTTTTTATGATGGAGATTTACGATTGCTATGTTTTGATGAATGGAAATTATTGAAATGGAATATTGGTTTGATGGATGGTGAATGATAGAATTTTGGGTTGAAATTTAGTAAATAAACATTTTTTGAATGTCGGAATTTTTATGGAAAAGATGAATCTTTAATTTGAGGTGTGGATTTTGAGATCTAATTGAATTGGGATTTTTTATTAGGTGAGCTGAGGTGAAGATAAGAATGCAAGTTGGATTGTCTGGATAAAGGGTTTGGGTTAATATTCAGGACCATTCAAAATTTAACAAATGCTCAACTAAATCCGATTAGAAGTGTAATTTAGGCAGGTTGAACCAAGTTTGAGGTCAACTGAAGCCCAACTCAAGGTCAAACTCCACTTTAGGGTCAGTTTGAAAGGAGTATAAATACAAATATATACAAAAATATAAGGTTTTGTACTCTACATATTTGTATTTGTACTCCTTCCAAACTGAGCCTTACAACTTAGTCTCATCAATCCAAGTTTAACCCAGAAAAAATTGGGGCCAAGCTCAGGTCAGGAGTGAATGATGAAAGGAAAGTACACAAATATCGTTGAAAAATGCATATATGTCGGAAAACTTTAAATTTTGATCAATACCAAATTACCAATTGTTTGGCTACCACTTCAATGATATTGGTTGATTGCTTATAAGGTATTTAGATATCAGTCCGCACCAACAACGAGAAATCCTCTCCTCCACTCGCCCACCCTATATAAACACCCTCCTTCATCACCTTCTTCATCACTACTTTCTTCAGCGGCATCTGTCTTATAACTGCATAATCAATAAAGTCTTTCATTTGTGTAAAAGTATCTGATAGAGATGGTGCGTCAAATTGTCTTGTTGGCCCTTGTCTTCTTCGTCGTCGTCGGCGTTGCTGCCGATACAGCTCCCGCCGGGTCCACTCCGGCTGCAGGAGCCAACGCAACTGCATCCTTATCACCGGAAGCGTCTGCCAATTCAAGTGCTGGGCCAGCTGGTGCATTGTCTGGGGAAGCAGCAGCATCACTGGGACCAGCAGCTGAGGCCCTTTCAGGAGCAGCTGCGGGGCCTTCTGCCAATGACACCAAAAGCGCTACATCAACCTTGGAGATCTCTTCCGCTTTCGCTGGTGTTGCTACCGCCATTGCCGGTTTCATCTTCCTCTGACCTGCTACAAAGGGTGTAGTGCTACAGAGAGAAGTTTTAGGATGCCCATCAACTTTATTTGCACTGGTGCAAAAGCCTGTGAGTGCAAATGAGTTGATGAATGCAAACTGTCTTGTTTCTTTTCTCTTTTTTTTTTTTTTKTTTTCCATTTTTGCTTTTTCTTGTTTATTTATGACATGTAACTAGTGTAAACCTCGATTAAATAAAACTAAACCAGAATTTACACCCTTCTGATGATTTACATTCTTATGCATTTGTATTCATGCAAATGAGATTTCAAACGCCGTGGAACTATGAAATCGTACAATGCTAATTAATTAAGGTCGTCGCTGATTCATTATATGACAAATTGGTTACGTTCAAATCCGACCTTGGCTCTAGAAAAACCATCTGGATGGCCAAGTTCAACCCATTAAACAGATATAAAATCCTTGGTTGCAATGTGTTCTTAGCAGAAATAGTAAGTGCCAATCTTAAAACACCATTTTTCAATTAAGAATTTAGGGAATATAATGAGAATCAAAATTATATTTCTATTCATTGTTTTATCACCCCATAAAGATAAGCAATTATATATTTCATTCACATTTCTGCTATATATAATCTATTTTTGGGCGTGTTATTTGTGCTCCATAAATATTATCTCTTCCATATACCGATTACTGAACTAAGGTAAATTTACATTGAGTCATCTCATGGCATCTAAACCTAAGCGTTCAATGCCAAAAAAAAAAAAAAAAAAAAAAAACTAAGCGTAAATTTATATTGTATATATTCTGTTTAATCCTTATTTTGAAATCCATTGTTTATAAGGTATTTGTCTATAAACCTAATTAATTTTGCATTTGATCCATCATTCATCATTCTAAAGTAAAAAAATTTACAGTCTATATTAAATCTAGAATTACATTATATTATGAGAGATTTTCGAGCATAACTAAATAAATAACCAAATTTTCTTCAACGTTGGAGAACAATATTTATTAATATGTTTTAGTTTTTTACTGTTTTAAATTTTGATGTTGCGTATATGAAGCATACTTCTGACCAATTCAAGATTTCAAGGCATAGGATTATCGGATCAAATTGGATTTTACAATATAATGTATAAATTAATTAAATGGAATTGGGATATTGCTTGATCCAATCTGAACCCAATCATAACTGCATATAAAAAGTACCTTTTTTGTATTAAAATTCTTTAAAAAAATTAAGTATAAAAATTTATTAATATTCTAAATGAATTGGATTTGAATATAGGTTTATCTATCTACCAGATTCAGATATTACTCCTATCCAAATTTTAATTCAATCCATTTGCAGGTTCCATCCCTAATTTTAGGGTTTTGGTAGGAGTGATCATTGACTTGGCACAGGATGGGCCGATGGGATGAGCAATTATAGACTAAGGGTGAAAAATATGCCCAAGCTCAGTCCTACATGGGACAAAGTCCAAGACTCCAAGGGAAGAACTCAAGTTTTCAGAACTGACCAAAAAGTAGGGAGTCCAACCCCAACTTGCATTTTTTTGGGTAAAATACAAAAACTTCTTTTGAAGTTTCTGATAATCATAAAAATTTCCCCTGAAGTTTCACTTTAGCAAAAACCTCCCCTAAATTTTTAAAGAATTCAACAAAAACCTCTCTTCTTCGATGGCCAAGACAGAAAACGTTAAACCGATGAATCAGATTTTTAAAATACCTATTTTACCCTTTTACAAATTAGTTTGCATCTACTTTTACTTAAATACCTTGTCAACATGTTATATCCTCTTTTCCTTTCCCGTACTGAAATACCTTCACTCGTCCTTTCCTCTGGTTGGAGGAGATCGAAGATGGAGGGTTAAGCAGCAAGGCAGATCGGTGAGGGAAATAGAGAACCGCTTTCTACAACTCCAAAAGCCATTCCTTTCTCTCTTCCTTCCCGATCTTTATACACGTATGCCTTCTTTCTATTAATCTCTCTTCATTGTGTTCTCTCCACAAACAAAACAAACCCAAAACCCAGAAAAAAATCAAAATCCCATTTGAATTTGGAAGCTAGTAATTATGCTTGTTAGCCTTCCTCGTGTAAGAGTCAGTGGTATCAGGAGCTACCATCTTTACTATTGTTACCAGTGCCAACGAACAATCAAGGTTGCCCCTGTAGGTTTGTTCTTAACCTCATTGGTTTTGATTCCTCTCCTAAGGCCCGGTTATTGGAATCGCTGTCTCTCATGCTTGACCCCCTCAATGCGTCGGCTTGTTCATGATTTCGACGGGAGGTTTCGCTTGGAACCGGAGGTTGAACTTCGGAACTGGCCCAGACGTTTGATTATAGTTTGACCCACTAACCATCCTCATCCGACTGGAACCATGTCCCCGCTGGAAAATCTGCTTTCCCGGGCTGCTGACCCTAGAGATTAATTTGTCGGGCCAAGGCTGAATGAGCTGCTTGAGGAATTGACCCAGAATGACCGACTAGGTCCGCCTCCAGCACCTACTTCAGCCATTGATGCCATGCCGAGAGTGAAAATCATAGATACCCATTTGAAGGATGATTCACATTGTCCAGTTTGTAAGGAGGAGTTTAAGATTGATGAGGAAGTTAGGGATATGTCGTGTAAGTGAGTTTACCATTGCGACTGCATTGTTCCCTGGTTGCAAATTCACAATTCTTGCCCAGTTTGCTGGCACGAACTACAGGCTTCATTTGACAGTGATCTTTGTATTGATGATGTTGTGGATTCTAAAAGGGAGGAGGTTAGTAACCGCCGCCGGCATAAGAACCACCAATGAAAGAAAAGTTTCAAGTTTCAACCGAGGTAAAATTGTATTACTTCTTTATCTCATTCACTTACGGTGGTTGTTCTCACAGACCAAAATTGCGGGCAGATCCAAAAGAGCTGCCATATGGAGTGCTTCGAACAACTGGCCTTGATTGGCTGCACCATCACCGTACATAGAGAACGTGACAGTATGATATTTGGAGTACTTCTCCACGAACAATTCCATGCCCACCATAGAAGCCAAAGTCCTTGTAGATATGCATGGAGCCTCCCTTTCCCTTAGAGCAACCACCTTGACGACCCATCAGTTCAGCAAAGCACTCAATAAGGGTCCCGCTCCGGCCGAGGAAAATATAGTGATCCCGGTAGGCGGTGATGATGCAGTCATTCTTCGTAATGGCTTCGTGATGGCAGCTTCCATGCCAACAGAGATGGCTTCTTGGCCATCATAGAGATGACAGAATTTGTGGATGAGCTTAGCCTTGTAGAGTGAGTCCGCAACGATCTCCATACAGTGAATGATGGCCATGTCTCTAAAAAAACTAAGGAGTTCCTTTGGGGTGGTTTCAACAGTGTGGGTGGGTGGGTCGATCTTGTGGCCAGTGAAGGGGACACTGATTTCGACGGTGATGACAGAAATGAGGAGAACAAGCAACCGTGTGATGGTATCAATAAAAATAGATGCAAACTAATTTTTAAAGGGTAAAATAGGTATTTTGAAAAATTGATTCATTGATCTAACGTTTTCTATCTTTGTCATCGACGGAAGGGAGATTTTTGTTGAATTCTTTAAAAATTCAAAGGAGGTTTTTGCGAGGAAGTTTTTTGATTGTTAGAAATTTCAGAGGAAGTTTTTGTATTTTACCCTTTTTCTTTGGTCCTGGTGCAAGCCCGAATCCAGGGTAGCCGTAAGGGAAAAACTAGGCTAGATAAGGAAATTCGTTAGCTAAGATGGGCTAGGAATGATCCGTTTTTGGGAGAGGGTTATTCTCTCATTATTTTTTTTAGTTTTTTTTTTTTTTTAATCAAAAATAGGATAGAGGGTAGGTCTTAAGCCTGTCGACCCCTGAAATAGGCCAAACTCACCAACTCTTCTTATTTGGTATATCGACCCACCAATACGGGCCAATATATGATAAAATTTTAAACCTTGGTTAAGTGAGTGTTCTTCGATATTAATTGTTTTTTCCTGTTATAAGTTTTAAAAATAAATCATCTGATTTGAAAACAAATTGGTCCTTGAAACAACAAATATATAGAAAACATGTTAGTGGTTGTATGTCCATTCCTATGAGACAGTAGAAGAGCTATGGAGTAGAGAAAGGTGTTGGTTTAGAAAAGGCTCCTATGGTGCCTCTTGATCACATTTGATTGAATTGTGACCGTTGATTATATCAACGATTAGCTTCGCACCAAAAGCCAAAGCCACATTTTACGAGCCATGCAAGTACGCACGAAGTGCACCTCTAAAGCGCCTCAATGCGCTGTGCATGTACCGCAAGCCTCCATACTCTCCTTTTTATATCTAAAAAGTGTAAATCAGCTCTTATTAAAAAACCCAAAACAAATTTTGTAATTTTTCAATATGGGACAAGTTAAAAACCGGTTTTAGTAAGAGAAAAAGTTATTTTTCAAAACATATGTGCAAATGTGTTTTTTCATGTAATTGATAAATCAAACCCCATTAGATTTAATCTTTAATGAAATTAAAATCCAAAATTTTTCATTTTCAAAAATGGGTTGAAAAACATGTTTTACTTCAAAATTTGTTTTTGTTTTTCAAGAACATGAAGTGCTTTTTAAAATAAAACCATATTGTTTATCCTTTTTAAAATAATACAGTTGAAGAACATGTTATTGTTTTTTTTTTCTGGAAATTCCAAAAACAAATATAAACAGAAAAAAAAAATTTTTCACACGTTGTAGAACAATTACTGCCTAAAACATCAAGTTCGTATTGTTTTACAACGATAATAAAACATAAAACTGAGTATCAAAAAAGGTTCAATTAGGCTCGATAGGAAACTTCACAAACCAAAACTTATACTATTTAAGTTGGACTCGTTTAGTAATTGAGGCTATATATTGGGTCTTGAATTGCACATTTTATTAGACGAGCTTAAATGGCTCACGGATAACTTGATTCATTCTACCGCTACCTAGCAAAAAATTATCAGTTGAGTGATTGGTAATTGTGGGCTATTTTGGATAATTAAGGAGAACTTTGGCTGTCTACGTTTTTGACAGCTTGGGCTGTCAAAAGAAGGGACTCTGACACTAATTTTTTAAAAATCAAATTGAAAATGAAACCGTTCTGATCATTATATTTTCTGGTTCAGTGATTCAATTGTGTCATAAATAAAATAAAACAAAAAAATTAAAAATAATAAAAATTACCATAAAAATTAAAAAAATACAAGAAAAAAATGCAAAAAAAAAATCACATGGAAAACCAAAAATATAAATATAAAAAAATAAAATGCAGCAAATATAAAAAAATAATGAAAATTACAAAATTGAGAGAAGTCACCGCTAGTGTCACAATCACAGAGAGAGGGAAATGAAACCGTTGGTGAATGCTGTTGTGGTTTAGTTGCAGATTAAAATAACCGCTGCAAAACTGAGAAAGGAGGTCGTCGTTGCAAAACTGGCAAAGGAGAAAAAAAAATCAAAAGCTAAGAAAGGAGGTTGCCGCTGCAGAACTGGTGGAGGAGAAAAAATCAAAAAGCTGATGAGAAAGGAGGTCGTCGCTGCAGAACCGGAGGAGGAGGAAAAAATCCAAAAACTGAGTAAGGAGGTCGTCGCTACAAAACCGCCGATCGTTGTAGGTTGTCGTAGGTCTTTGGATATCATTGGGGGTCGGAGGTAGATGGTCTCAACCGCTCGACAACTCAATTGAGAAACAGAGAATGAGAAAGAATAGTACGTTGCCGCTGCAAAACCGCCGGTGACTGGTCACCATAGTTTGTCGAACGGTTTGATGGTTTGACCATCTGAGTCAGCGGTTCTCTTACCATTTCAACGTTTTTTTTCAGAATTAACGGTCCAGAGCAAAATCGGATCTAGTGATCTATCCGGTCTCGAATCGAACGGTCCGACCGCCCGGTTCAGTCCGGTTTTCGAAACCTTGTCTAACACATTAGCTAACCCAACAATACGTTCGGCAGCGATACTGTTACACAATCCATCGACAGCCCAGGCTATCGAACGTGGACGGCCAAAGTTCTCTCTAGGGGGCGCGCGGCAAAGTTGTTGCTGAGAGAATTCGCTGCCAACGTGTCGTCAGTTAAAACGAAAAAACCACTCATTCCATCATCGTCCCATCTCTCTCTGTTACTCAGTCTCAACAGAAGAATTTTATTTCTGATATTCTCCGATTTCTCGTTCCCCACTTCTACGGCATTTTCCCTTTCGATTAACATTTCTTCAGAGATCGCCATTATTTCTGCGGATTCCGCGAATACCCTTCAAATGTCGGTATGTTGTTGATTTCTCGATACTTATTTTCTGGGTTCAGGGATGCTCTATGTTGGAAAATTACTTCACGAATCAGGATATTGTTACATATGTGTAGCATGTGAGATTGGGTTTGATTGTTTTCGAACAGGTTTCTAGTTGAATTTTGATGTATCGTTTAGACATGTACATTGTTAGAGATCTGGGAGTTTAGTTGTGTTCTGCGTGCTCGTAGAGGAAGAGTTGATTCTGATGGGCAGATGATTATGCTTCATCGGTTGTAGACCCGTGTTTAGGTTTCCTGTGGGGTTGTTTGTAATATAATCAGGCCGAGAAGCATTGCTCTTTGTTTTGTAGCTGGAGAGAGTTGACAGGTTCGCCACAGACGGTTTCAGTTTCTTCCTCGAGATTAGCAGCAGTAAATTGATGAATCCGTATGTTTCTTGGAAGGGTTTATCCTGTAATGTTTAGGTATTGTTCAGGATTTGTAGGACTGTACATTGTATTGAATAAGATTGTTCAAATATCTGGGATGATTGTTTGTAGATGTTCATATTGATTTTAAAGGGGTGGCATCAATGAGAGAGAGAGAGAGAGAGAGAGAGAGAGAGAGTTTTGAATTTTAGGCTACAGTTGAGTTGAAGGTTTGTTTGAGGAAGGCAGGGGTAATGATATTGTTTCAAGTTTTGAGGTGCAATCAGAAAGTTGACCAATGCTTACCAATTTACAGAACAAGGGGCAATGCCTGAAGATAGCAGAATTGTTTTAAGTTTTGATGCTTCTGAGAATGTTCTGACATTCTTGGTTCCACCATGAGCCTTCCCAGATTAAAATTTTCATTCTTCAATCTCTTCGTGTCACATGGGGGGTTTTAGGACTGGTTTGGCTGATATTTCAGTGGTTGGTTGAGGCAGATTTGTAAACAAATTTTTACGCTCATTACAGTCAGAGTCGGTGACCACTGTTTATTAATTTGCATAACAAAGGGTGTTGCCTGAAGATAGTAAAATTGTTTTAAGTTTTGGTGCTTCTGAGAATGTTCTGACATTATTGGTTCCACCATGAACCTTCCCAGATTAGAGTGTTCATTCTTCATTTTTTTTTCATGTCACATGGGGGATATTGGGACTGATTTGACCAACATTTCAGTGGATGGTTGAGGCAGCTTCTAAGCAAATTTGTAGGTTCATTATTGCTATAATCAAAGTGACCTTTACTGTAAAATGCTAAAGTACCACCATTGTTGTTTGGGATGAGTTCTTTCCACTCTGAAAGTTCAGTTATTGTTGATGATTATCTACATATTTTCCACTATGTTGTTTTTTATAGGTGCAGCTAATCATGTATCACAATTTCAATTAAGCATATTCTTGTTATCATTGTTTCTTCGCCTTTTGTACTTCATTGTTTTACTTTACTCTCTGAGAATCACCTAATTGGCCATTGTCATGTGCAGGTCCCAATGGATCATCATGATCCAAGAATGGGAATAGATCTCCCATTATCAAATTGGACAATCAATGTTTCGGATGTGAGGATAAAGCTTATTTGGAATTCTATTAGTTGGTGCACATTACTATACCTTTCTATTCATGATCATGCTGGGTTTTTACTAGTGATGCAGCAGAGTCTCTATGCCATCCTTCAATACAAAGGGAGATGCTTTTGCACCTCCATTGACTTATAAAGTCTCTGCTTTGATGCACAAAGAGAGAAGATACTATATAAAATCAAATTAGCTGATTCTGTTACTGGCATTGTCTGCTGCTTCACTTTACACAACCATTATGTCATAAGCATCCATTGATCTCAATAAAACTATTTTTTTTCATTTTAATTTTTTTCTTTTGTTATGTATTAGATTTTTTATAAGGCTGTTCAAAACAAAAAAGAAAAAAATAAAAAAATCTTGATGGCATCATTTGAATTTTCATCACACTTACTATTTTATATTACAGATAAGAACAGTCAAGGTGAGCAATATTTCACTAGCTGCATCTGAACACGATATTAAAGAATTTTTCTCTTTCACTGGTGATATTCAATATATTGAAATGCAAAGGTTTGTTTTGTTTCATGTTTTAACTCTATTACTTGTTTCCTTATTGTAACTGACTCTAATTTAGAATCTCTACTTGCAGTGAATCGGAAAGGTCTCAGCTTGCATATGTTACTTTCATGGATTCACAGGGTGCAGACACAGCAATACTTCTGTCGGTTTGTACCTTTTCTACTATAGAAAATTTTATCTGGACCTTGAATTTTATGGTTAAAATTCTCTGATGACTTTCAAGCAAAGGAATATACAACCCTTATTCTGGAAGTTCTCTGACTACCACATTTACATGATTCAGGGTGCCACAGTTATTGATCATTCTGTCACCATAACACCTGTTGAAAACTACCAATTGCCTCCTGAAGCTTTTCCACCAAACGAGGTACATTCTTAGACTTCCTGTCAAATAGTTGTCATATTTTTTTTTTTTGTATCTATAGTGTACTGTCACTTAAAAATATTGAAGTTGCTGCAGTTGTTATATTTGGTAAGTAATTGATCTGGTTGTCTCTTAAGTTAGCAGCACATGATTTTGACCCATAGTTGTATAGTTTGTGGATACAAAAGGAACTGGTTGTAGAACACTTGAATGCCTATTATTTATAGATATCATGATGGTAACTAAACCTGATAACAAATTTTAAGGTGAAGGTACTGCAACTTGGATAAAGTAGGCAAAGAAATTGATTGTTTTTTCTTTTTAAACTCCCAAAAGCTATTTTCCAACCCAACAACATTCTATTTGAAAAACCCATATAATAATGATGTGTCATACTGAATGTTTCTTTCCAAAGTAATGCTAATGAAACTAATTAGGAAAAGGACTTGGCTTGTATTTTAATGTATTTCCATTAATATTCTCTATATATCACTTTCGATATATCCTATAGTACATAGTTATATGCACCAATTTATATGATTATGTACCTTTGAATGTTATTGGGTATGGAATCTAGAAATGCTGGATTCTGAGTCTCTCAAGGGTGGAAGCACTCAAATTCTGGTAGGATACTGGACACCAGAGTGAGTATTCTCTCTCAACCTCTTCCCCTCATGTTCACTTTCTCATTTTTTTTTGTTTAAATAGTGTAATTTTTTTCCTTTCTCTTACATAGGTCTATCAATTCTTTTCCCTTTTTATTTGGTATTTTATCTTCAACTGGGTGTGGAGGTAATAGTTTCTGTAAGCATCTTGGTAGGTCAGGTTTGGTATTGCAACATCTAATTTATTATGGGATGAAGTGAGCCAGCTAAGGGTTGAGATTGACTCCAATAGGGTCAAAGAGTAAACCCAACCTGCACTGAACTCAATGCATCACCATATCACTCATGCTTGTGCTGTTCCTTACAAAATAGGTACTGAAAAATAGGAAACAGGAAGGGTAACCAGGGCATTGACCATAAGTAGCATTGTGACTTTGTTGCATTACTACAATAAGTAGTCCATGGTCCTTCTACCAGATTAGAAAAGTGTCATAGATTTGGTTTTGAGAATAAGATTCCACTTGTCACATGATTGAAAAACCTTGAAATAAAAGAGCATAAAATTGGTCTTGAGTAACAAAAAAGGTAGATGAGAGGCTAATGGGAAAGGCAAGGAATTTTATCACTACAGGCTTTTTGATACATGACTACATGAAGAAATGGACAATGCTAGAAATAGAATAGAGATGGTAGTAGCTAAATTAAAGGATATTCTTACAGAGTTCATAAAATAAAGGGTGGCTTTCATCAACTATCAATCACTTGGTATCAGATCAGAGAATAGTACTGTTCTCTTTTCTTCTTCTTCACTTTATCTTTTCTTTCTCCTTTAATACTCTGGTTGTTTGCTGGATTTATTTTATTGATTAAATTATTTGGTATCAGATCAGAGAATAGTTCTTCTATTTTTGTTTTCCTGGCCATTTTATCATTAGAAAGATTAATTAACTTGGTTGATGATACTAATTCAGGCCAATCAGGCAATCGCCATACAATATTCATTGGGATATAAGGAAATTTTCAAAAATTATTGTCCACACATAAGTAGTAATCCTTGATGGAAAATGTGGAAACCATATTTGTTTCCAAAAAAGATCCATGTACCCCAATCAGCATGCTGTACAAGGGTTTGAAAGAAAAAATACCACTATGTAGTTGATCATAGTCTCGTGTCTTCACTTTCTTGGAAATATATTTTCAGCAGAGCCTTGCTAATAAGCCAACTAAGTATTAGTTTCTGCCGAACAAAAAAAAAAAAAAAAGGTATTAGTTTCCCAGTCATTGTGAAGACTAAAAAATTTTGAACTTAAAACAACTTCACTGACAATCAACTCATAACCATCCATAAAAGTTGCATTTTTCTTCCACCATTTGAAAGAGAAAGGGGACTGCCTGTCTAAGCAGTCTGCCACCACAATAAAGCTCCTATCAAAAGCCTATTCATCTCCTTTTCCCACTCTGAATGCTCTGGAGTTTTTGAAGTCCCAGTGAGTTTTTGAGGATCTTTCTTCTTACAGTTTAAACTAATCAGAGAGCATATACATATGCAATTTCTGATTGTTTCTTGGATTTGTTATTTAATTATTTATATGGAAGCATGTTGTGCTAAGCCTTGTGCTTGGAACTATCTCTTCTTATTAGATGGAAATATGATTTGTTAATGAAATTGAAACTTTTCACCTATGTACTATCACGACTCATGAGTAAGTATTATTTTTAGTAGATTTTGACTATTGATTTCATATTCAAATTTGTGTAAGTATTAAATAGGTAGGTTGCATATTCATATTTATATTTTAAGCTTGATGTCAATTCTGCACATATTGACGGATTAAATCCTTCTAATGATATCTCAAAATGTTCTTGAAGCCCTCTAGTACCAATTCTGCTGTTAAAAAGGCTGAGGATGTGATGAGTACCATGCTGGCCAAGGGCTTCATACTGGGGAAGGATGCTATCAACAAGGCCAAGGCCTTTGATGAGAGGTTCCAGCTGACATCAAATGCATCTGCCACAGTTGCATCCCTTGATCGGAAGATGGGCCTTAGTGTGAAAATAAGTGTTGGGACTGCTGTGGTAAATGAGAAGGTGAGGGAGGTGGATGAGCGATTCCAAGTGATTGAGAAGACAAAGTCAGCCCTTTCATTGGTTGAACAGAAGGCAAGCAGTGCAGGGTCTGCACTCATGAGCAATCCTTACGTATCAATTGGGGCATTATGGGTGTCAAGTGCCTTAAGCATGGTTGCCAAGGCAGCAGAGGATGTCAGCCTGATGACAAGGAAGAAAGTTGAGAAGGCTGAGGAGGAGAAGGAGACAATTCATCAAGAGAAGACAGGGATTATTAATGATTTTTCACAAATTCATCTTGATGAACCTTCAGCTAGGGAGTCTCCTGTTGTGTCAATTTCTTCTCCTGATGATGCAAAACTTGGTATTATATAATCACACTGTTGTTATATTTTTTTTATCTCAGTTCCATGTCATTTTCTTCTTTTTTTTCCAGTTTGTTGTATATCTTTTCTCTGGTGGGGAGTGGTTGACGATACCTTCTTTAGTTAAATTTGTTTCTATTGGTATTGAACTTTGTTTAGAATGCTTGGTTGTCCCAGAATCATTTTTCAAGTTGATTGTTCCAATGGTAATGTGGAATGCCCGTATACAATTTCTGCTACAAGTTCCCTTTTCATATTTTAATGAACACGGTTCTTGCTTCAACTGAATACTTTTCCTAAAGAAACCAGATGGTTAAGTCGATAATGGTGAAAGTAGCCATTCTAAAGCACAAATTGTTCTCAAGGCATTGATGAATTGATAATTCTCAAGGTATTCTCAAGATGAACTTCAATGAAAGGAAGTTAAGAAAAACATGTGAGAGAAGTTAATTGACCGAATGCGAATGGGGGCAAAATGTTGGCATCGGGGGATCTTTGTCACAAAACAAAGTTCGGGGGCTATCACTACCCCTAAGTACGGGTGGCTATCTGTAATTTACCCTCTTTTTATATATTCTCTTCTTACCCCTTCTTTCATTAACCTAGCTTACCTTCACCCATTTCGGGGGTCTGGATCGAACTACTAACAAACAACCCAAGCAGCTCACGGTTTTATGCCACATGTCCTCAATATGGGAAATTGGGAATTGTAACTGGTTTTCATGTTTCTTCTCACAGATTCTCATATGTCCATCCAAATTTTCATGCTATTCTTGGGATCCCGCTTTGAGGTTCAAAGATTTTGTAGTTGATAAAATTAGCCAAAAGTTGCAAAATTAGAAATCCAAGCTATTACCTCAATTTGGTAGAGGTGTATTGTTAAAAAGCATTGTTGAAGCCATTCCCTAATTACTTTCTATCCACATCTAATTTTTGGTGGGGTTGCTTGGATAAGGACAAATTCAATTATATGAAGTGGGATTCAATAATGCGAACAAAACAAGATGGTGCTATCGGACTCAAATTAGAAATAAAGCATTGATTATTGGTTGGATTTTTTATTGTTTCACCCCTCTTCCAAGTTGCAATAGCAACCCAACCTTGAGTTTTGTCGAGACTTAATTCCTATAAAAATTTCAATGTAAAGAATTGATGGAATGGTGTGCTTTAGCAACAGAATAAAAGCTTCCAATCAATGAATAATATCTTAAAGGTTTGCACTGTACTTTTGGCCTAATCAAAGCAACATATGAAGGAGGACTTTGCTTTGGATAGATTCTTGGTGTACTGAAACTAAGGTTTCGTTGTTCTTTGAGTTTCTTCAAAGAGTTCACCAAAAACTACTTGGTTGCCAAATGGATATTATCTTGGATGATTGGAGATGTTCTAGGATGATTACTTTTATACTTTTGGCTTGATATGAGGGTCTATTTTGTAGAGAAAATCAGGGAATAAGTTATGAAATTTGTTCTACATGTTGCCAGGATTTCAGGACTGCAAAAAATTTGATATTATCGAATGCTTTAGGGTCTGTTTGGTTTGCAGGAATAGGGGTCTGGAATTGGAATCAGAATGAGCTATTTCGATTCCAACTGTTTGGTTGGGCGGAATTGGAATCCCATTCTCATTCTTGTTAGAATGGCATTCCCCCATTTGAGGGAATGGCCATTCCTTGCCCTTCCCTTGGGAATAAAATCCCATTTCTACTGATTTTAATTCTCATTCTCATTTCTGTCTGAATCAAACAGACTATAGGAATGGATCATTCCGATTCCGATTCCGGAGGATTTTGATTTCGATTCTGTCTACGAACCAAACGGACCCTTAGTGTGTAATGAGTACTAGATGAATCAATTCTCTCTTGATTTGTAATAATTTATAGAGTTTCTATCGCCAAGTCTTTGATGTGCCAAACGAAGGCTAGGTCAAATTTAAGGCTCCCGGTGGCAAAAAATGTAACTTTGAACTAGTCATAAAGGTCATTCTGTTATTTAATTTCAAGGGTTTAGGTAAAGGAATCTTTGAGTTATGGGTGTTTTAAGTGTATTAGGCATATTATAATTTGTCCAAGTGGGGTCCAAGTTGAGCCTTGGCATCATACCTACCATCTTGAAAACCTAGATTAGGGTAGATCAAGGTCAATTTTAATCCAATGCGCATAAATAGAATCTTTCAAGTTTAGTTGTCAAATGGTGGAATTAAGTCATGAAATTTAATGTATTAATGTTTTTTTGGATCTTTAATCATGATTGTGAAGTTTGATTGATTAAAATAAGTCTCTGCGATAGGAATCTACAAATTATAGGCTTGAGCCAATGAGATTTGTTGAAATAAAATATTTACTTGATGATAGGTTAAATGAGGAGGTTTAGGGTTGAGTTTTGATGTATGGACATCTTTGAACATATAGATTCTAATGGAAATTATGGATTCGTAATCCATAGTGGTGAATTAAGAGATTTAGTTCATATTAGGATTCTGGCTTATGGCTTGTCAACTAATAAGATGGCTTGAAATGTAATCTAGTTGTTTTAGAAGAAAATAAATGATTTTATGGTTGAGATGGGATGGATAATTTATTTTGAGGTTTTTGAAAGGATTTGCAATCGGTTAACAAAAACCCAAAGGAAATCCATGTGGGGTGAGTGGGTGACGATAAAAATCAAAAGAAAATAAGTTAGATTTGTTAGCAGAAGATTTGTAAGAGTAAATTCTGTTATGGTTTAGGCTTTAGGCATCCACAACATTTAACCTTGCTCTCCAAACAAAATTGGCTTGGAGATTCATCATAAACAAAGATGGCCTATGGGTAAAAATTATAGAAGGGAAATATTTGAAAGACAAAAAACTTTTGGAGCCTGAAAACTCCACCAAATAGTTCTTGGGGTTTTAGGAGTTTAATAGCTAGCAGGGACATTTTGAAAGAAGAAGCATGCTAGAGTATTACAAGAGGGGAAAATGTTGATATCTAGGAAGGCTGCTAGATGGGCTTCCTTTCTGATTTGTGACTTGGATCTCCCAAGGTTACGGGAGAAGATAAACTGGTTTGGACCCTAACTGGATCCTTAAGGCAGGCTAAATTTAATTCTTTTCAGAATTTAATAGGTGTTTCAGGCAGCTTGGCCATGAGTCAATGAAAGAACATTTTGGACCTAAACGTCCCCCAAAGGTAAAGCATTTCATCTGGAAATGTTTCCACAACAGTATTATTGTGAATTAGGTTTTGGCTAATAGAGAAATGTTTCCACATTACTGCCACACCAGGTTTTGGCTAATAGAGGTCTAAACCTGGTGTGGCAGTAATGTGGATCATTTCTCCTCCTTTACAGATTCGTGGACTTAGTGGTTGAACCAAGTACCAAATATTAAAGAGGATGGCTATTTGGTTATTGAATATTCTGCATTTTTTCTGTGGATTATTTGGAAAGCAAGGAATGTTATGATGTTCAATGAAGTTCAGCCTAATCTTCTTATTTCTTTGTTATCTATGGACAAGTGAGTGAAGGAAGCAAGGACCATTTCCTTTCAAGAATCGGTCGTTTGTTCTCAGCTTAAAGACTTTCTTAATCAAATAGTTGGGCGGTCTAACAATCTAAAGTCTTTTTGTAAAACAAGTTCTGCTGGCAGCTTCTCAAAGTCTAGATTCAGTGGTTTTGCTTGTTTGATTAGAAATGAAATTGGTTCCTTTTTGGTTGCTAGGTATGGACCTTTTAAGGTCAAATCAGCTGAGTATGTTGAGAGATGCTATTGTCTGGCTGCTATTAAATGATATTTACAAGTTGTCAAGTTGGAGGTCAGGCTGATCTTTGTTGGTTGTGCTCTGAATTGTGTGACTCATGATCTCGTTGTAAAAGGAAGTTCAAGTTTTTGTTCAGTTAGAGGAGCCCCCTTTGGTTAGCTCCTCTTCTAGATTTTGTTGATAAGGGTGTCTATGGATCAGTTTTGGATTGGACTCCGTCCAGTCCAAAATTAATTTGGACGAATTGGACGAACCAACAAGACAAATTGAATTGGACCAATTCAGTTTAAAATATTTATTAGATTGGATTGGACCTAGTCTGTCTGTAACAAATTTATATTGAATTGGGTTAGATTAAGTCAATATCTAGTACAAGATAAGAATATATGTGTAATGGATCGGGCTTGGGTTGAAACCAATCTAAATCAAAATGAATTCGAACAGATTGGACAGTCCAGACATTGAATTGGATTGGTCCAAAACATTCATTGGATTGGATCGGATTGGACCAAATCCAATCCAATTGACACCCCTAGTTGTTGATGGTAGTGCTTGTGATAGCAGGGTGGTTCAGCCAAGCAAAGTTTAGCTAAACGATTTAGCAGTTCCATTTCAGTATTTAAATACATGGGGCCCATATCTTTTATAGTGGGGCCTATGAATTTATTATTAGCATAGAACTTCATGATTGATCCACAGCCTGCTTAAGAACTAAAGCATTCAGCTAATCCGAATTCAATTCAGCCACCATAGTTTTGCTTTCCCTTTCAATGTTTAATTTGTCATTTTTGTTTCTTTATTGTTTTTTTTTTGTCGTTGATGTTGAATTTGAATCTTTATCCATCAAAAGGTCAAATGAAGAAATTTTGAATTGCGATTTGGTGTATGGGCATAAATTGAGGTGTTACATCAAAAAGATCAAAAGGAGGCTTCATATAATCTGATAGAGGGTGCATGTGTTAATATTGTTTTCTTTTGGTTTTGTTCATTTATTAAAATGGAATCCTTTTATTGAAGTTTTGATATGGAATTTTGGTATATGATCATATTTTAGGTTCAGGGATGAGTGTTTTCTGTTTTGGATATGATTTTAGTGAAGTTGAGGTTTGACGTTGCATGGGACATGGCTGTTGAGAAGATGATATCTTGGTATACGTACCAAGTGGTTGATTGGTAAATATTGGAATGAGAATGGGTATTTCTAGATTGGGATTTGATATAGTGATGATAGGGATGACTGAAGTGTATGATGGGAATATTTGGCTTTTATATATCTATTCATTGATCATGATAAAAGAGGGTATCTTACGAGATTTAATGCTGAGTTTGGTCATGAAGTTTGGCATATAATTAAAGTTCTGTTTGGCATGTCTTTTTGTGTGGTTTTTTAGCTGTTTATAAGTCGGATAGACTATATCGCAGTCTTTTTCCGTTTGGTTCGTAATAGATCTAGTCGCCAAAAGTC